AATGGTATTCAAAGAACAGCTAAATTGGAGCACCTTAAATGCTTATATCAATTAGAATCAGAAAAGTTAGTCAAATTGTCAGACTTGAATGAAATTGCAATAACTTCCAAGCCAATTGAAAGGCGAAATGTATCTACTTGCCTTAAAGTTTTTTTAGATAAGACATATCACGCCTTGTTGACCTATTCTCGATTAATTTTAAATTCTAAGGATATTGCAATATTTATAAATAAAGTAATAACCTGATGGAAAATTTTGAATGTGAAAGGTCGTGAAGCTGATGTGAGACACAATCATTCACTAGAAGCACCTATTTGTAGTCCTGATGATTGCCGGATGATTGCCGTCTTAATACTCTACTTAAATTTGGTGACATGGCTCTTGATATGTGTTGTAAAAATGGCAAAAGAGTGAAGCATTTATCATTAGATAACTGCTTCAATTCACCATAAACGCTATGATATTGTTGAGCAATGTAAATATTTATTAGCAACAAGCCATGATTACGTTCTTCTTGGTATGTTTACAAGTGACTACTTAGAAAAAGAATTTGGGAAATTGAGACAAGGTTCCGGGGGTGTCTAAATTATAAATGTTCAAAAAATTATTAAAAAATTGCATATGAATCACTTATCACTGTTGTTATCTTTAAATATTAGCATAGATTCTTTTGATTTTAGCTCGTTTGATTATTTTCGTATGATTTTAGTTCAGGTCATGAGTGTGCTTCTTGTGCATTTGTTTTATGTGAAGCAGGTAGTAAAATATTTGCCAATTTAGAAAAACTAGAGTTACCAATATCTGATACTACTAAAATGTCTTTGATTTATATTGCTGGTTATGTATATAGAAATGAATATAATGAAAACTATTGGTTCAATCAAACATTACTTTATTATGAAAAGTTTGGTGAGTACCTCAAGTCTATAGATCGTGGTGATCTTAAAATTCCACTGGACGATTTTTGCCAATGGTTTTTTTGTTTTGTTTTATTTCATTCGATAAAAGATAAATTTTGTCGTAAGTCTTTAAGTAACATCTTTTCGCTGGTGTCTGAATTTTACTATTTTGAGATTAATCAAAAACATTGCAACATTTGCTAATATATTTTTAAACAATTTTTGCGTACAAATTACACCAAGATCTAATAAAGAACCTGTATTAAAAGTTTTAAAGTAATCATAAATTTGTTAAGAAAAGAATGAATTTGTATCTGTTGTTGTTAAAATATATGCAAAAATTTTCTTTGTATTATTATTTTTTTTTTTTAATTTAAAATTTTAATTTTTTATTACATTTTAATATAAATATTTCTAAATAAACTAATTAAACTCATTAACAGTTATATTTTGACAAAATAATAGGCCCCCAGTCACGGCTTACGGTTGCACGATGAATAGGCCTTTAGTATAGATCGCCTTGGGTTTATAACACTGCCTCCTAATGTTCTACCAAAACTATATGCAAACCAGCAGAAATGAACTTTGATGTTTATATGTACAATATTATTTTTTTTGAGAAATTGGTAAATAATAACATAGTATAGAAAAATTTTGTGTTTTTACGAACATCTGAACGTCTGATCCCATAAAGAAATTTTTTAAATTGTTTAACTAGGAAATTATAACATTTACGCTTACATAGCTAAAGCTAGCATGAATGCTGCAAGCAAAGAAGTTCTGAAAAAAAGTTTTGAAAAAAAAAAATATAATGAGGACATCTATTATGGTGCATAATAACTTTTGTTTATATATACTTGATATTTATTTAGTAAGTAAAAACTATTGAAATAAACTGATATAGTTTTTAATTGACTAAGTTTTAAACTTAATTACAAATCATAAGTGAGATTTAATCTTTATTTTAATAAAACTTTGAATATATTATTCTCTCTCTTTCGGTTGTAACTGATCTTTTAAAACGTTTTTTTTTATAATTTGCTCTTCTTTTACTTCATAACTTTATTCGTCAAAAGGTTTGTTTTTTTCCAAAGATTTTATAGTTCAAATATGGTCAAAAACGCCTTGCTTTTTGATCTTTAAGTGTTTTTCTTATAGAAAATCTGTTCTAAATAATTGAACCCATCATTTCGAAAAGGGCACAAGTCCATTTATTCAAACTTTTCAGGATCAACAAAAATAACTTTATTAAAAAAAAAGTCTATGGGGCAAAAGAAACTAAAGATAACAGTAGATATATAAAAGTTATACATAAGTTTTTAGAGTTTTATTTGTTATAAAAAAATAATATGTAACATATATTTCTAATTTAAATTTATGGACTTATGTCTTTTTCGGAATGAACGCTTTTTTGTATATAAAAAACCATTATCAGAAAAAAACGCTTTTTTGTATATAAAAAAGATTATCAGAATAATAATGATTTAGCTATTATTACACAAAAACATTTATTGTTAGGTAATCATCACTTATTTCTTGGAATTCATTGTTTGCCGAAGTTGTTGGCGAAGCAAAAACCTTTGTATTGAAGTTTTGGTACTCTTCTATTGAATATGGAATATATTTTTTCATATTTTTTTGAAATCTGATATATTTTTTTCATTGATAGGTTTTTTTCCAACATATGCAGGAGTACTACTTAATGGTAAGGTTGACCGGGTACCCACCCTTTGTAATAGCTGGAAATTATAACTGACTAAGCAATCTATGGATTCACATATTTTCACTAAACCTGCTGTGGTATTAGAGAATGTAAAATGTGAAATTTTAGAAATACCAAAAGTAAGTTTTTTGTCCTTGGGTACTCCTTTTCCATAGGAATCCACAAATAGCACAACGGAATCCACAAATTTTACATCGTTGGTGTGTAAATCCGATCATTTTTTTGAATGTCGTTTGCTGTTCCAAACATTCTATCGTTTGGCAAGAATGAGTGACCTCTTTTTGGTATGCAATATTGTATCTCATTTATATTGCTATCTAGTTCAGCTACCAGTGATAAAAGTATTCGGACCAAGGCATGATTTCTGTTTTGGCCTGCACAACCATAAGAAAATAAGTGTAGTTCTTTGGCTTCGTTGCCAATATTTTTAAAAATATAATTCAGTACAAAGGTGCATAATTCGTTTGGATATGCTCCCGTACTTTTGTTAATGTATCTCCAGGTAATGTGTTGCATCGTGATCACAGAGATTTACCTCTGTAATCTATAGGCTGCTCTTTTTTTTTAATAAAATGCATAAACGTCTAACTTGTTTCATAAAAATTCCATGCATACAGCAAAAAGCTTTCTTGCGTACTTTTCTTATCTTAATGTGATAAATAAAAAAAAAAAAAACCTTTTTTCTTAGGTTCTTTAGATCTAAACCATCTTCTCTCTATTTCGCTCATTTCAATCAATGACTGCAAGTATGTGTCTTAAGCATTTTTACAATCAAATTTATTAACAAACTGAATTGTACTTTCTATAAAATCTTCAGATACAAGCTCTATACATTTTTACAATCAAGTTTATTAACAAACTGAATTGTACTTTCTGTAAAATCTTCAGATACAAGCTCTATACATAATAATTCTATTTATTTACAGATGTAATTCTTTGAATTACATCTGTAAATAAATAGAATTATTGAGGTTATATTATAATAATTATATATCAAGATGTTTTACCTCCAATTATTGGTGGTAAAACATGAGTAAATAAGCATAAATTTGAGAACGAGTATCATACTCTAAAGAACAAAAAATTGACCTGTTTCTCTAGCAATTTTGGCTTTTTTTATTTTTTCGTGTTTATAATTTCCAGTTTCTTATACCAGACACTCTTTTTCTAGATCTATACGCATTTTCAGCAAGTTCGCGATTTTCCATTTTTGTTACAAATAAAGTGAAATTACGTCACTACAGTTGCACTTCGTTTCACTTGAAAAAGGCATAAGTCCGGGACTTGTGCCATTTTCAAACAGACTTTAATTTTCATTTGTATTTAAAGTTGACTTGTGGCATATGAAAATGTTTCTCCTTCAAAGGGAATATGTAAAACACTTGAATAAATAAAATTCCATTAAAAAGTGAAATTTGAAAAAAGTGTGACTTGTGCCCATTTCGAAATGACGGGTTCAATTATTTGAATTAAGTACAGGATTTTCTTTATTATATTTAAAGTAAATTTAGAAAATTTCAAGTTAATAGCACAAATAGCTTTTGAGATCATTACTGCAACGAAATGAGGTTTCTGGGATTATATTTTTAAAATCAAAAAATTTTTTAATTTTGTCATTGAAATTTTAATCAATTTTAATTTGAAAATATCCAAAACGTAATTTTTGAAGGATTTTATTATTAGTGGTCTGCCACCTTAACATATTCAAACATCAGCAGCAATATTTTGTCACACGTTTCTTTTTCTATGCGAGACCTTCCTTTTGCCAAAAATCAAACTATAGCTTTTTTTTATAATTTTTGTATATTTTGCGTTATATAATCTCTTTTTAAAATGATCAATAAAGACTTCTCAAAACATTTTAAATGTGAATGACTTAGATATAATGAAATTTGAATGACTTCAAAGTAATCGATTGCGACCAGTGATTTTTTAAAGTCCTAAATTACCGCTCTGATTACTCGGGAAATTGACTCATGACGTCTAATTTTACCGGTAATTTCAGAATTCGAAGTCCTAACTTCCTGGAGTTTTAATTTACCACCCCACCGGCGCTGCTGTAGTGCTTACGCTGACCTTGAAAGAAAGTTGTATAAGGAAAAATTATTTGTAATGACTAAAATTCATCATTGGTTTCTAAGTTTATATTTTAAAGTATCTTTAGTACAAGATTTATTTGGTACAACTCTCCCCTTCCCCCTTCCCTATACAAAGAATTTTGTAAAACATCATTTCTACTTTTTCTGTTACCAATAAAATGAACCTGTTATTTAAATAGTATGCATAATATTTGTAACTAATTTGAATTATTTTAAATGTAAATTAACATTTTGTCTATACTTGTAAATAAAATTAAAAAAAAATGGAAATCGGCGTTATTATTAGTAAAAATAAATATATTATAAAATTACTATTTACAAACGAATTTACTACAGAAAGAATAATTTATATACAGTTATATATTATTAAAAATAAAGTCATTAAAATAATCGACACGAATGTTTTGGCGCATCATAATCGGCGGGTGTGCGAGGCAAATCATCGAGTAAAACAAGATTTGGTAGCAGCGCAAATACCCTATTAAAAAAAAATATTTTAAAAATCATGTAGTTCTGATTGCAATTATGATTTTCACCTTGGTGATAAAAAGATGCAAAAACCTTAGCAAAATCCGTAGGATACGTTTTTACTTTAATAATTTAAATATTTAATTGAACATTTTTTTAGATCTTATTAAAAATTTATTAAGAACAAAAAAACTTGTCGACTGTTGATTAACTTTTTTTGTTAATAATAAGGTTTTAAAAAATATATATATAAATATAAATATATTTATACTGAATGATATTTTGTAAGTTATTACAAAAATAAATCGTGTTAGTGAAATTGAAAAATTGTCATAACTGCGTTAAAATCCAAATTTTCCTAGAAAAATACTTTGGTAAACCAACAGTTATAAATTTGCAGTTCAATGCATTGCTAGGTAGAAAACATTAAGGTCGGTTAAAAACTGGGATTAGGTTGCCTGTACGAGTAACTCAATGGGTAAACCCAATTTTTATACAATGGCGATTAAATCGTAGACATTTTGATGACTCGAGGAAGAAATGCGAGTGATAATTCAATTGACCGTTCCCACTGTTGATATCTGTTGCAATGCATATTGTGGTAAATGTATGCCGCAGCAAAACAATGATTAGATTTTAAAAAAATTTAAACTAAGATAAAATTGATTAAAATGTACCATCAAAGAATGGAAAGAGTGGTTGATTCAACAAATAGAATAAATATATTATTTAATCTATTTTACTGGTCTAATCGTCCAGTTATATTAGAAAAAAGACCAGGAAATATTTATTGTGTGTCAAAATTCTTTAAAACAAAATGTTTATATTAAGAAAGTTTTTACTTTCTTTCACATGTTTATAATAAAAAAGTTTTTTCTTATTATTTTCAAAGACAGAGATATGGAAAAAAATACTAAATAAAAGATAATGGTTTTAAATATTTATTTAAGTTTTGATAATTCAATTAAGTTTAAAATATTTATTAAGTTTTAAAAATACCAGCAGACATAAACTCAAAATAAAACTTTGTAAGTGTAGGCAAAATAAAATAATCCCATCTGTCTTTATCAAACTCAATTTTCTCCACAAACATGTCCTTTTGTGTCCAAACAATGAAATCAATAAAATCCACTTGTGTTATAGCCATAAGACCTTGACACTGGTAGTAATATTGACAATTTAATTTGGATTTCCATCAACAATGTGCATATAAAACTGATTGTCAGTTTTATATGCACAGTGCCAAAGAAATAGATATATCCTTTTTACTAAAAGGGCACTTTACCTCGACTAGTTTTAAGACTTTATCATCAAAAACTAACCCATCAAGACTGCAAGCAAGCCAATACCATTTAGGATTAACAAATAAACCACACGAAATAACCTGACACTGGAAGCGGTCTTCATATTTTTTTATGACCACAATTTCATTGTCAATACCCCATTTACATGCAGGAGATTTTAAACTGTCTCGAACAGAAAGTTTTTAAATGCTCATCTTGATGTTGAAATATTGGTGTAGCACAAAACTTTCGCTGACCAAAGACCAGTGGTCGTTTACGAGACTTTTTAATATCCTTTGAAGCATCTGCTTTTTCAAATACAAGGTTTGAAAATAGTATAGCTTCAGAACTTTTCATAGATTCACCAGGGACATGTCATTGCTGTAATAAATCTGTACAAACTTTGTCATCTGGGACACTTTTTATATTAAGTTCCTTGAAATCCACAAGTTGATACAAGGTTGCTGCCACGTGCTTACAAACATCCTCCAGCTCCAGTTTTACAACATAAATTACCTTTCCAATGTTTTTGCAGAGGTGTGCATTTACATCGTATGTGATTTTTTTCATGGATGCTGACACTGAAGACACTGAAGCAGCCATGGCGCAGTGGTAGCACACTTGCCTCAGAAACAAAGGGTCCGTGGTTCAAACCCCACCTCTGGGCAAGTTTTGCAACATCGGTTAGGAAGGAGGCGTGAACTTCCAATTAAATGCTCATCGGCGGTGCTCTGTGATAAGTCCGTAAGTACTTCTTGGGGCACCTAAATAAAAAAAAATTAAAAAAAAAAAAAAAAAAAGACTTGATTAAATATAAAGATTTGTTTCCAGCTTGAACATCAGCTTTAATACGAACTCTTTTAACATAGGACTCTTTATAAAGTTGGTATCCTTGAATTTTGTGTTTAATAGCACCCTTATGCATTTTATCTTTTGATATAGTTTCGGCCACCATATACTTGTATAAGATTTCATGTGATATTGGAGGTAAAGTTGAAATATCCGTTGTCCATTCCTTTACTTTGAGAGAAATATTTTATTCTTTATCGATATTAAACTCTTTGTTAGAGATTTCACTATAAACACTTTTTGGCAGTGAAGAATAAGTTGCTTGATACATTTTTAATTTATAGCAAACAACAACTCTTGATAGACTGACTAAATTTATTTATTATTTCGCATACATTTACCACAATGCATTGCAAAATTTATCTATAGTGGGATCAGTCAATTGTTTTTATAATTATAAACATTTTTTAACACTTTCTAGCAGGTAAAACAAAAAACACTGCCTAATAAAACATGCATGACGCTAGCCATTGATACCACTAAGTAGTTTATGTAACACCAACTAACTATAACAATGTGTTGGTTTAACAATAAATGGTTTGGGCTAACTAAATTATGTTGCCATGGAAACAATTAACAATTTAAAAGATAACTTTATAACAATTTAAAAGATTTCTAACTTAAAAAAAATACCTTTTTCGGTAGTCAGGCTGAAGGGATACTGGATTTTCTTGCAAAGTCAATGACTTTATATTGGTTTCTTTGAGAAGCTCTAGGCCATCAAGACAACTTATATTATTCTGCTGCAGAGAAATGTGTTCTATATGAACTAAATGTGGAAGCTTCTAAAAAAACAAAATTAAATAATTAAAAATTTATACCTTATTTATGTAACTTTTTTTTGTGATTAAATTAATATTTTTAACAAGAAAAAAAACTCACTTTTAGGTTTCGTAACAGATTACGTTGGAGAAACAAATATCGACATCTAAAATTATTCATGCAAGATAAAACAAAGCAAAATTTTGAAAAATTTAATAAAAATTAAAAATATAGAAATTAGCAACAAATAATAAAAAGAATAATAAACAACTTTATTTATATTTTTAGAAAATTTTATCGATATTTTAAAAAATTATTTTATGCTTTTCTTTTTCTTTTTTTTTTTCTAAACATTTAAAGAATTTCTTAATGGTAAAATAAAAAAGAAAAAAAAACTATTTTTTCCTGTTGCCTCTGTAAGATTAGAAACAAATTATTCTAGAGTGCTGGACTAATATACATACAATATACCATCTGCTGCTAGAGATTATATTATTTCTTTAAATGTTATTACATTATTGCTAATTTAAAAATGAAACTAAACAATTTTTTTTTTCATTTTCATTCTTAATACATTCATTGCAAAATATTGTTTTTGAGCAAATGTGTGGCATGATAATGACAAGAAGTTTTTAATAAATCAAGTAGATTG